TTTTGAGATCTCGCGTTTCATTTTATGATCTCAATTTTCTAACTGCCAGAACTGGTTAATATGAAATATTATGAAAAAATATTGAAGTAGTATTGGGATGCGGACGAAAGGATGACATCAGTTGTGAGTGACTATCATAAAAGAAATTTAAATTGTATGATATAATCGGGCAATCTGACAGACTTTTTATTATCGTACTAGCCGTATTAATATGTAAATAATGAACATCTGTTGATGGACGAAATCTTGGGATCTTAGGTATTTGTTAGTTTGACGTTAAGTTTGATACTGTGCTCACGGAATGCATCTCATGGATATGTAGCAAGGTGGGTTGGATATTGCAGTTGATCGACATGACCACAGTTTAATCATATAGAAACAAACGCGCGTCACAGGACTGCATGTTGATGACGACTATCGATCGGCGCCGAAACGGCCTGTGTATCATCACGGTTGTGCACAAGTGGCTGCTTGGAGCCAAGCGAACAGCACCGTTGTTTTCCATGTGGCCCTTACGAACAAAGCGATGTTAAACTGCTTCCCCAGAATGTTAACCAACAAGTGCAATGTTAAGTTCACAAAAAAGTGCAATTGGGTCTTTGTTATGTGGACCTGCAAATTTGTGATTGTGCTCCAGCTTTCACCGATAACCACGGAAGATTTTTACTCATTTTACATCCAGCTTTTCATTGCTAGTACAGGCAAGGACTTCTCTATCAGCAGACCTGATTTAGTTGGGTTTTGTCTTTGACAACGCACTGGCCTGACTGAAATAGGGCCATTGGGTGATCATACGCTGGTCAATGCCAGAAGTATCCGCTTGTCTAAAGCGTTTAACAGGTTCTTTCTTATTCGGATATTCAACTTCTAGCAGGTCTTTCGAAAGTACACTTTATCACAGTCTCCGCACTGGATGTGCATGCAGCATTTAATACTTCTTTCGGATTAAATGGTAAGTATTTCTTGAATATGACATTGCCCAATGTCCTGCTAGTCTTGTAGTGGACTCGAAATTCCCTCTCTCAAAGGTACCTCCTGATGATATTGAAATGCCTAGGGCAAGAACGGTAAAACAGAAAAGGTTGGGAAGCTTCGTGAATAACAAAAATGGAAGAGATGCCAAATGCCAGAATATGTTTAACCACTGAAGCAGAGGTGAGTCACTCCATATTTTTTCTTGACGTGCTTTTGAAGAGAACATCATAGCCTGAATTTGAAATTTCCATCTGTCGGAAACCAATTCATTCACAATCGATACCTCCACCCGGCGTCATGCGTCAATTCTGGTTTCCTTAGAAAAGTTGTGAAGAATATGCGTCTACGATCCCAAGAAATGTGTACTATTACCTCTGGCCTGACACAGAAATTCGACAACTATACCAAACGTTTTAGTGAATGACCGCCGAAGAAACAGGCTTAAAGATTCCTCGTCCATGTCAACCAATGATAATTTTACCATTCATACCCCTAAGTACCTCAACAAATCAGGAGGTACCTTAAAGACATGGAGTTTGGAGTCCATTACAGGCATAAATATTGGGCAATGTCTTATTCAAGAAGTTCATGCCCACAAATCCGGAAGAGTTATTCATAAATGTTATGAAGTTATGAATCCGGAAGAGTTCAATGTTATGCATAAAGTCAACCCGGATACAAGCTGCTGAAAT